AATACGAGCTGCTGGAGGAACAAGTCTTCAGAGATGCTGGAATAGGTGATGCCAGTTTTGAGGAGATAAACAGAAAGCAGCTGTACAGTCTGGCTGCACTGCGGTGAGCTTACTGTGTGTTTCACCAGCAAATCCTCGTGTATTATGAGAACATTTTTATATTCCATTTTAAACCACAAAAGAAAAAGAAAAAAAGATACTACAGGCATTTTATAAGAACCACCACAGGGAGCACTGGGTTAGTCCTTTAAATGCTGGTCCTGGTGCAGCAAGATTTTAACTTACCTACTGAAATGATTCCAACTAAGTTCATCAAACGAAATTTACATTTAAATTACATTATGAACAAACTACAGCATAAGATAAAGGTTTCATATCTTTATCTCATAATTGGAAGATAGTTCTCTCATCTAATGGGCTTCCGTAGGTAAACAACACCTCTCCCTACAGCTGCTTTTGTTTGCAGAATGTCGCGATAATAAACAGCAGAGAACTGTAAGTGAAGTTCACCTCGTTCGCTGTAACGACATCAGCACGAAATTAAATGAAACGGCTGCCTCCTGTTGGTGCGTCCTACCCGCCGCGTTGGCCAGCAGGACACGGTCATAAATCAACAAAAATGAAAGATTTGTGAATGGAGTTTGGCGTGACGCACAGGAGAGAACAGCACGTATCGTGGGACCTCCTTGTTTTTCTCAATGAAGTGAANNGGGGGGGGGGCAGCTCACCATTGAGAAATTTGCCACAGAGCACAGAGAAAGATTCACGGTGCTAACAGGCCGTAAAGACAGCTGCTGCAAACGGAAATACCGCGCTGCCGACCTGACAGATGCGGGGAAATGGACGCAATGTTGCCTTTGATTTTCAGAAAATGGCGTTCGCCTCTTAACCCATATCTGCTCCCCTCTCTGCCAGCAACACACCGACGGTCCCCGCTTGACGTTTATGTCACAAAACAAAGCAAAACAAGCCCGCGCATGTACACTAGCTTTTATTCAAGTAAAAGAATAATAATGCGGGACTCACTTGATAAGTGAAGTTTCTTGGCAGTGTGAAAAATGAAGTGGACGCAGATTTCCTCCCCTACATCCCCTGCAGCTCCTCGAATAAAAACTCGGCTGTGGATTTTTCTCAATGAAGAGCTCCGATCGCTGGATCTAAACCGTGCCCTTTGCTGCGCTCCCATTGGCTGAACGCAAAGTCAGTCAAAGGGCGGGCCAATCGTGTTCAAGGCTGCACTGACGTCCGTCCCTTGTGTTTTTTATGAATGGCTGCGTTTCATTCATGGAGCCACAGCTCTCTTAAAGGGCCAGAGCTCCCATTCCATTAAATAACTAAGTAAACAAATGAATACATACATAAATCCAAAATAACTTCTCAGTCGTAAATGTAAATGATTACATAATCGTAAAAAATTGCAAGTAAATGATTGTCATGGCTTTACGCTCAATTTGTAATAATTACCTGAAATTCTATTCAATACACTTAATTTGATTCAACAATATACAAAACAATTTAACTCTACATCCAATAATAGTTTATATATATATATATTAGACATTTATTAATGAAAACCAACTAGTTGCTTTTAAATTGCTGATTGTTTTATGGTGACCATTGCTCATGGGACTTATATATAATCTGGCACAATGACATAACTGAGAAAATGAATCATTAACTATTTCATTAAACAATAATTAATCATTTAATCAATTTAATCAAAGCAAAAATACCACCAGACCTGTTTGCAGTTTCTCAAGATGTGACTGATTTCTGTTATGTATCATGGTCTTTTTGGTTGTGTTTTTTGACCTGTTGGTCAAAGATGTCACTCCTGAGCTGTTGGGCATTAATGATGTGCATTGTTCCCTCAAATTTTCTAGCATTTATATACTAAAAACAATTCAATCAACTGAGCATAACTGATATTGAAATATTCATTAATGTTTAGTTGCATTTAGTTGCTGGAACATTGCAATGCTTTTGTTGAAGTGTAGATCATACTGTACCACCTCTTTGCAGACTTGTCAACATGATAGAATTTAATCAAGGTTTAGCACATGACTGGCTTCAAAGTCCATGTCATCTCAGTGGGTGGCAGAGCACTTTCTCCACTTTTAATCCACTTTGATCTCTGTTTCCACTTCATTACCCGAACCACTGCAAGAGTGTCACCCCCTGATCATGTGCCATAAACCGTGGTATTTAGTGCTTTTATCAGGCCAGCAGTGAGGGTTTCCATAAAGTACCGTCTTTGAATAACTGACTGAGCCACATTTAATAATGAAAGGAAATCTACAGTGTATTAAACCACTGCAGTTACCGCACTTTGCTCCAGAATTGGACAAAAAAAGACAGAAGGTTTGATAGTTAGGAGCCAGCCCCTGATACAACACGCATCACCTCACTGAACATTTTAATCAAAGCCATCACTCTGCTTCATGAATAATCGCCCAGAAACAACAGCGTTAAGTGTAAATTGTATGCCAATACTATAATCATCCTCAACTTTAGTGGGTTACCGCTAGCTCTTACTGTATTGAGGAAAGTTCTTAACTGCAAACAACTAAACTATAGATTCAATCATCAATTCATTTCACCATCTTTATTGTTCTTTTCTTTTTTCATGGTTCAAAATTCTGCTAAACCTTTTGGCCTTCTTAACAGGGGCGTTATGCCAAGATGTTGTGAGACATTTCCGGGGTTAGGGCTCCCAGGCAACAAAACAGCAGCTATAGGATATTTTCAATCCAGTCCATGATTACTAGAGTGCCTAAAATATCTTGGCATATCATTTGGGAAAAACATGATTTGTCCAGTAAAAAAAAAAGCATCCCGTAGAACCACCTCATATTTGTATCACTGCCTTCAACATGAAACCATAGCACGAGAAGGCAGTTGATACAAAATATGATGTTGAGGTATGATAATTTTCACTCCTGCCACCTAAACGAAGGAATTCTCTGTTATTGTGATGTTATTATTTTTAAGTTATATAACAACAGGGTAGGGTGGGAATTGGGTAAAAAACTGCAAAAGAGTACATTCACAGAATGCATGTTTAGCTTTTGTGTCTTCGTATGTCCATTGGTCCATAAGCTTAACTAACAAGCTAGTAGCAAGCTTGCTCACTGAGTCACCACACTGAATGAAACATGACACACACAAGGCAACAACACCCCATCAATGTTAAGGGTGGACCTATAGATACCGGATATTTCTGCAATAATTAACTTTTGTCCATTGACTTTCTGGTCCAGAGAGGAAATACACAAAGTTTGAAGTATTTTCAAAGCTAAAAAATAAAAGATTAAAAAGATTCTGGGCATGCAATGTATTTAACACTGTTCCAAATTGAATGAAAGACTAGCCGTATCATGTCTAATAAGGTACAGAAGATTTCAAGTCTATATCTGATTGAGTCACAGAACTGTCAATTCACTACAGCTTGAAATGATGTCTGTCTGATGTAAACCCATCATTGCACTAGACCAACATAGAGAAATAAAGTGAGATTTTAACAATAGAAACAAGGCGTCTTAAAATTAGCTAAGCAGAAGGAACAACCGACCACTAATATAACACTAATTACTGCATCTTAGACAATAGAATATATGTTGCATCATGTGCACTGAGCCATTTGTTGATACTTGCTTTCAGTCTTGTCTTATGACATCAGACTCGATGACCTTTACAGGTGGATGTTTTTTTTTATCTGTTTTGCAGGGTGCAGCGACTGTTTGTTGTTCTACTTAGAAAACTGCTTGTTCAGCGCTGGAGCCATGAACGGATCCGTGTGTGATAAAAAATTCCAGTTCAAACATCAGCTTGAAGCTCATGCAGCTCTGTTACGATTTGCAACCTCTCCCGTTTGCTCGGCCATCACGTGTCTGACTTGTTCAGTATCACATCAATTGATTTTTATTCTTCCATTTTGCAGATAACAGCATATTATCATCGACAACATCCTGTTGTCAGAAATTTAGTTTTACAGTTCTTATCAAATGTGTTGCCAGGCTGCGTTATGGTTTTAATGATGTCTCTTACTTCTTAAAGCTTTTTAAATAAATACTCCCCAAATTATGATATATTATTGTTCTTGTTTTTAGCAATAATGCAAAGTTACAGCGTCCAATACATGTGTTGAACAGTAGTAACAAAAATGGTAAAATTGAAAAAGAGGGTTACGGTTAGGTTTTTCATCATTATGATATATTTATCCTATACCTTGTGTTTTCTCTTTAAAAAATTTTAATAATTCTATAATCAGATAAATGCCTTTTATTGTTGATGTTCATTACAAAACAAATTAATAATACCATCTGATGAATTTAAGTTACAAAGCTAGTTTAAACGATTATAAAAAATATATCTAATATAATAATGAGTATGATTTAAAGAAAGAATATCCTACCAAAATAAGGAAATGATGATCACAGGTCTGTAAAAGTATAAATCCAGATGAAGTAAAACCAAAAGAGCACTTGGACTGATTACCGTTTTGTGTTAAATTAGACTTCTTCTGACTTGTCGGATAGTACCAACAATTCTTTCACGTTTCTCCAGAGTTTCAACCAGCACCAGCACTTGATGCTGTATGAGAATATTCTGACCCCCAGTGGAGGATGAAAAAGTGCAATTTATGAGGTAAAAGTCAAATTTATGAAGAAAATTATTATATTATCATGACATGTTATGTCGCAATTATGATTAATATCTAATAATATGAGCTGACCATGGGGATATTTTTCATTCTTATTTTGTTATTGTGCTGGCGGGAAATGGGCTTCCCTACACATATTTACAGGAACACCGGTGTATAAAGCAACAGGAAGTTAGTTATTGTAGTTCAGACATAACTTGGTAAAATCTGCATAACATAACAAACTGACATGAACCACGCACACGTACATTGCAAGTAAACTTCCACAAATCTGTTTAGGAATCATATAAAAGCTCATAATAATTTAAGGACTTGACTGAAGTTTTCTTAAATGAAGTGAATCCATGATAGCTGTCTGTACATGCACTTCCTGTTTATACTGCAAA